ACAGACAAGTTGTCTGTCCGGAAATGAGTTGTCGGTGAACAGACAATTCATCTCCGGACAGACAACTTGTCTATGAGGGACAGACAAATATACAACTTTTGTATACAAGTTATTTTATTTAAGAAAAAGGAAAGACATTCGTATTGAGTGGAAAGAAAATTGTCGTTGTGGTTAGATCAACCTAGATAAGGCTCAAATTTTCTTCTCCATTCCTTTCATGGCCGCGAAACTCTCTGCATGTCTTCAAATCCATTTCATTAATCCACCATCCTCCTCAGACACGAAACACCCCGTTCTGTCCAACTCCAGAAGAAGAAGAAAGCTGAACATATCTTGCAATTCGTCCGATTCTCCCCCAAAAGTTGCAGAAGAACATCGCAACCAGAGAAATGGCCGATCTTTATCTGAACAACTCAAGCCTCTGTCCACAACCCTTCTTTATGACCAGCCAAAGCAAACAAAGATCCAATCCAAACCCAAACCCACTTGGGTCAACCCGACCCGTCCCAGACCTCCCGCTCTGTCTCTTCATCGCCAGAACCGCTCTGCTTACTCCTACAACAACCCTCAACTCAGGGACCTAAAGATATTTGCTAAGAAGATGAATGAGCCTGGTCTCTCCGAGGATGATTTCTTGGCTGTTCTTGAGGAAATGCCAGTACCACTCACTAAAGAGAACGCCCTATTGTTGCTCAACAACATGATAAATTGGGAAAAATCCCTCCTTTTCTTCAAATGGATTAGGGCCAAAAACCAATTTCCACTGGAAACCATATTCTATAATGTTGTTATGAAGTCTTTGAGGTCTGGCTGGCAGTTTGGGCTTATGGAGGAACTTGCTCTTGAGATGGTGCAGAGTGGAGTTGGTCTTGATAACATAACATACTCAACCATCATCACAGGGGCAAAAAGGTGTAAGCTTTCCGGCAAAGCCATTGAGTGGTTTGAGAGAATGTACAAGACAGGATTGATGCCTGATGAGGTGACATACTCATCAGTTCTTGATGTGTATGCTCAGTTAGGGGAGGTTGAGGAGGTAATGAATTTGTATGAGAGGGGACGCGCTAGCGGGTGGACCCCGGATAATGTGGCATTTTCTGTTCTTGCCAAAGTGTTTGGTTCGAATTCGGATTATGATGGGATTAGGTTCGTATTGAGTGAAATGAAGGAACTTGAAGTGAAGCCCAATTTGGTTGTTTACAATACTCTATTGGAAGCATTGGGGAAGGTCAGTAAGCCCGGTTTGGCGAAGTTCTTGTTTGAGGAGATGTTGGAGAATGGGGTTGAGCCGAACGAGAAGACCTTGACTTTCATGATTAAGATTTATGGGAAGGCAAGGTGGGGCCGGGATGCCTTGGAGCTTTGGGAAAGGATGGAGTCGAATGGCTGGCCTAAAGACATCATTCTGTATAACACGTTGTTAAGCATGTGTGCGGATCTTGGGTTGGTGGGAGAGGCTGAGAGGCTGTTTGGTGATATGAAAGGGTTGCCGGGTGGACCTGACAGCTGGTCCTACACGGCCATGCTCAATATATATGCGAGCGCAGGAGCTGCCGGTAAGGCTTTGGCTTTGTTTGAGGAGATATCTGAGGTTCGGGTTGACCTTAATGTTATGGGGTGCACTTGTTTGGTTCAGTGCCTGGGGAAGGCAAAGAGATTCCATGATCTGGTTAGGGTTTTTTATTCGGCGATGGATAGAGGGATCAGACCGGATGATAAGCTCAGCGGGTCATTGCTCTCTGTCTTGTCATATTGTGACGTTGGGGGTGCAGATGAGGAGAAGGTCTTTGGTTGTTTGCTGAAAGCCAACCCTGGCGTGGTTGCCTTCCTGAAGCTGCTGCTTCTTGGGCAAGACAGCAGCACAAGTCATGATGATAATGACTCTTTGAGAAAGGAGTTCAGAGAGATTCTTGGGAACACTTCTCCCGGATCCCGAAGACCCTTCTGCAACTGCCTGATCGATATATGTAGGAAAAGGAACCTCGGGAACCGGGCCCATGAGCTGCTGTATGCCGGGACCATGTATGGGCTCTATCCTGGTCTGCATAGCAAGACGCCTAAGGAATGGTGTTTGAATGTGCAGTCACTGTCCGTGGGTGCTGCCCAAACCGCATTTGAGGAGTGGATGGTGAGTATTGTTAAAATGGTGGAGCGGGAAGAGCCGTTGCCAGAGTTTCTCACGGCTCGCACGGGGGCGGGGACCCACAAGTTCTCCCAAGGATTGGCTCATGCGTTTGCTTTGCAGGTGAACACGTTTCAAGCTCCGTTTGAGGAAAATACTGCGGGGGTGTTCGTGGCCAATAGGGATGATTTAGTGTCATGGGTTCAATCGAATGCTGCTGCTTCTTCTTTACTTGCTTAACCTGCATGCTGCATCACTGACCTAACTCTGAATCGATCATTTCGTTCTGATTTTTTGTTTTGCACCTATTCCTGCTTCTAAGACAATTGGCTCACTATTTTTCTTCTCTTTCTGAAAGGAGTGTATAATTTGTAGGAATTAGAAGTGGAAATGATGAATTGCTCTCATAATAGTCGTCTGTAGGGAAAAAGTTGGTGTGGAAAGGCTAGTCTAGAGTTCTTGAGTCCATTCCAATTGTTCTTGTTTATACGAAGGTTGACAGGAAAGAACTAAGGGGTGTTTGGAACGGATTCTTCTTTTTTAAAGCAGAATCAGAATCATTTTTGGAACTGATTCTAGGGCTATGTTTGGCATACAAAAGCTGGTAGCTTCCGACTTATCTATTATTTAAAATGTCTCCAAAAGACTCTAGTTTTGTGTTTGGCCCGTTAACTTTTTTTAGAAACCTGGGTCTTTTACGAGGCTAAGCAAGGAAGCGTCTAACAAAAAGACCTTTTCATTATTTACGACATTCCTTGTATAACCCCAAGTAACCTGATTATCTTTCTTAAACCCTTTAATCCATATCAATTTTCAACCGATTTGTTTGTTGTTTTTTTCGTTTTGTTTAATAATTTGTTGCCAAAACTTGTGTGATATTCAAGGTTGACAGATATTACAGTTTACATCAATTTGGTAAAAAATGTACTCGAAATTTGTGTTTGATTTGATCTTGATTTTTTTTATCTTTGTTTTTACGAATTGAAATATATTTCTTGATTTTATTCTTTATATTGATTACTATCAACACAAACGTTTGAAGTTCTTTGGGTTGTGGATTTGTTTCATGTTCAGGTTCGTTTCGTTCATTGTATTACGTACTGCTTTGGCTTTTGTTTTGCTTTATTACTAGCTTTTTGGGTTTATTTCCTTGGTTTTTCATAGTTTTTTGTGTATTCATGTTATGCTTTTTCTTCATTTTTTTATGTAATTTTTTAGTGTTATGTACTGCTCGGTTTTCTTTGCTGTTATTTCCTAACATTTTTCACTTTTGTTGTCCTTTTTCTTTTGTGTGTGCGCTGTTTTGTTTTTTACTCCCTCCGTATCTTTAAAATCTTCCCATTTCAAAAGTAGGTAGATTAAGAATAGTGAAAGATGATATAAATTATTGAGGGTATGATGGGAAAATAGTGGAATAATGTGGTGGAATGTAGGATAAATCCAAAAAAAGTAGTTGTAATAGTGTATTATTTTAAGAATTATTGAGGGTATGATGAGAAGATTTAGAAATGGGAAGATTTTTGTGTTATGGACGAAAAAGGAAAGTGAGAAGATTTTTAAGTTACGGAGGGAGTATATACTTCGTTTGTTTTAGCACATTGTAGCTGTTACTCCGTATTTTTTTGTCCTATGCACATCAGCAACTCAATGGGTGTAAATGTGTAATATTGGTTATTCAGAATCGACATGAGTACTAAAATTTTGAATATGACTGCTGCCACAAATATCTTCTTCGTTTGAATGGATCATGAGGAACAAATGAATATGGAGTACTTGTTGATTTTTTTTTATCGTAATGAGTACTTGTTAATTAATTAATAATATTTGATCATTTCCCTTAATTGTAATTTTATAATTTCAACTACTTATAACAGTTAGTTTTGCCAAACATGACCATTTAAAACAGACAGCTTTCATGAAACAACTACAGTCTTTTCCATCTGCAAGCTTTTCAGCTCAAAAAAGCTAACAGTTACAAAAAAGTCTTTAAAAGATCTTTTCAGCTTGTCGTATCAAACATAGCCTAGGAGTATATTTGAGTATTAGAATCACTTCTGCATTTTCACCCAAGTACTCCAGCTTCCGCTCCCTGAAGGAGCAGAAGCAGTTTTAAAAATCAGATCCAAACACCCCCTAAAAAGAAAACAGGTGATTACTAAAACTCCCTTCATCTCATCGAGATTGCTTGCAAGTTTTGACCTGCACATCAAATACCTAATTAAAATTTATACTAGAGACCTTGCAAAAAAATTATACTAGAGAGATAGATAAATGAATAGAATTATATGGAGTATATTACTTATATTATAGAGCTAAGCGACAAAGTTTAATGAAATCACAAGAAATGGAAAATTGGCAAAGCCCTATGGAGGAAGTAAGTAAGCCTATCAATGGGTCTGATTTAAATTCGGACTTGTCTTTTTGTAATGAGTATGGGGTACATTTTATTCTGTTCTCCAGATTCCGATTCGACTTATAGGGAATGAAATTCTTTATAGGGAAAGTTCAAAAAGGGAAAGTGAAAACATTAGAATAGAATGGTTGGAGTAATATTTTTACAGGAAAAAAGAAAGAAAGAAAAACTTGGGAATTTAATAGGACTGATGAAATGCCAGTTTCTTTTCTCTCCCATCCAATTGTAACAAGAATATTTACACATGGAGGTTTGAATAGTATTCTCCTGTAAAGTTGGATGGAAACTCACCTCCAAAATAGAGTATACTGTAAGTAAGCCACATCCCCAATCCGATTACAAACACTTGTCTAAGCTCTAAAGTGAGATGAAAAGAACAAACTACAAAATGAATAAATAACAATAAAAATTTTATGCCTATCTATGAAAAGAGGAATGTAGCGTCAGGTGTCTTCTACAAAATTTATACAATCAGCAGGCTTCCTTTCCTTAAAAGATCTCTTGCTCGACGTGTAGGAATCTTAAAATCATCGATGTTGAAACATGAACCTAGATATTAGATCATTAGAATTTGTCCAGACTGCAGAGGGCATGACACTTAAATTTGACAAGCTGCAGAGATTTTTTTGTGGTTGAATGAATGAATCAAATGTATTTTCCTGATGATTTCCAAATTCATCCTTCAAGTGAGATTACCATAACAGTGACATCATCATGGTACTTCCTTCTGTCTCCTGTTGGGATGTCAAGCAACTCATGTAATTCCAGTCCTGCAACACACATATAACAAAGCTAAATAACACCCCAACTTGAAGAGAGCAAGTGGACGTTTGGTAGTCATAAGTCCTTGCCTTCTAGCTTTTCTAATACTCCCTCCGTCCCAGGGAGAAGTTCCCGGGTTGACTTTCACACATATTTAGGAAATAAAGTTACTGAGGGGTAAATTTTACTATTTGGCACTGTTTCGACACTGTTTGGCACTGTTTCGACACTGTTTGGCACTGTTTTGCACTGTTTGACACTGTTTTGATGTAGGATAACTTTCCATTTAGGGAAATGGGAACTTTTTGTTGGGACTACCAAAAAAGGAAAGTGGGAACTTCTCTCTGGGACGGAGGGAGTATTTAAAAAGTCCATAAAAATTCTTAGTTGTTCATTTGGCACAAAATTATAAGTTTTTTAAAAATGTAAAATCTTTTTTGGAAGCCACACTGAGTAGCTTAGGAGAGAAAGTCTATAACTTTTAACATTAATTAGTCAAAACAGGTTGTTATGCCAAATTAGACACAATAAAATAGACAGATTTCATCGAACAACTACATTTTTTAAATCCTTTCAGTCACTAAAAGTTAACAATTACCAAAAACATATAAAAGTATCTTTTCCGCTAATTGTGTCAATCATATCATAATTAGTTAAATAAAGATCCTTTTAATCTCCGTAAATGAATGTCAGTTCATTAGGAGGGATTGTAGTAATCATATTCCACTCGATACTGGAAATGGACTCCCATAAAAGCATCTCAAACCCTTCCTAGTTCCTACTGGAAATGGAATTTGTAAGGAACTTCCACCTTCTTTCTTGGAAGTTGCCAAGATGCATCTCACACCTTCTAGGAAGGAGCTATCCAACAAATGAACATGGGAAGAGATTTCTTGGAGATAACTAGGAAACTCCATAGCAATGGGAATGGAAGCTTGGATGCAACTTCCTCATGTCTCCCATATACACCTATAAATAGGGAGTGTATTGTTGTTCATTTGTATCAGTTTAGAAAGTGAGAAAAGTGTGTGAAGAGTGAAAATACACTTAGAGTAGAAGTTATTGGTGAGGATTGGTTTTTTGTAATAGTTGAGTGTGAGAGTTTGCTCCTCCTATTGTAATTCTGTTCTTGATATTGAATAGAAGAATTTTCCAATCCCAACAAGTGGTATCAGAGCGAGGTTGAGTTTTCATACACTGTTTTCTCATTTTCAGATAAATTTCTACACGTTAGAAAATCGTGATTTTTCAAGTTGCTCGGAATCACGATCTGATCATACCGTTAGATTCGTCTCGTCGAGACGAGAAATCTGGTATTTTTGGGGAATTTTTTGGCCACCGGAAGAGGCCGTACGCGCCGCCCAAACGCGTCGGAAAACTGCCTGCGTCATCATTGCGTCATCACGCAGTCCAGAGGAAGAAGACGAGCCACGTAAGCCACCACGTCAGCGCCACGTCATTCCATGTAAGCGCCACGTCATCCGCCACGTCAGTCGTGCAAGCCATCCTTTGGGTGCCACGTCAGCGCCGCGTCAGCGCCGCGTCAGTGACACGTGGCACCACGTCAGCGCCAGCGCAGAGCCAGCTGTTGCCACGTCATCCGCCTGCTGGTCTGCTCACTGGGCTGCTGCCTGAACCGGACCGAACCGGTTCGTACTTGTGGAGGCCGGTTCACCCATTTTCAGACCGGTTTTGGACGAGGTCAGACCGGTTCCTACCATTTTCGGCCATTCCGGATCCAACGGTGAGCTCCGTTTGTCCAAATTCAGCTCCGAAAATAAGGTACGAGATATTTTGAGCGTTTTATTATGGATAAATCATCATCGGACACCATGATTGCGCTCACTTCCACAAATTACAATATGTGGAAGCCTCGGATGGAGGATTTGCTAAATTTGAGGGATTTAGCCGATCCTCTTGATAATAATGGCGTGAAACCGGATAAAAAGACGGATGAAGAATGGACAAAAATGAATAGAAAAACTGTCGCACAAATTCGGCAGTGGATCGATCATAGTGTGTTCCACCATGTTGCGCAAGAACAAAGTGCTTACACACTATGGGAGAAGCTTGGTAGCATGTATCAAGCAAAAACCGCCCGAAATAAGACATTACTAATGAGGAGATTAGTAAACCACAAGTTACGAGGAGGTATTTCGGTGTCAGAACACACCAGTCAATTCCAGGATCTTGTGAATCAGTTGAGCACCACCGGATGGGTTCTCAAAGATGAAGAGCAGGCGATACTACTCTTGAGCTCTCTACCTGACAGCTGGGAGACTCTTGTTGTCACTCTCAGCAATTCTGCTCCCAATGGCAAAGTGACTATGCAGATGGTCACAGATGCCCTTATGAACGAAGAAGCCCGAAGAAAAGAAGCTGGGACTGAACAATCATATGCCTTCGTGTCAGAAACCAACAGACGAGGGGGAGGCAGAAATGGAGGAAGAAGTCGAGGTCGAGGTAGAGGCCAAGGTCAAAACAGAGGAAATTCTCAAGTTCGCGGCCGATCACAAGAACGAGGTATGTCCTGTGAAAACAATACTTGGTTTGAAGGATATTGCAACTATTGTGGTAATTATGGGCATAGAAAAAGAGATTGTAGAAAGTTTCTACGAGAGCAGCCACAGACGAGTCAAAATACTAGCCAAGAAGATGGTGTGACTATGGTTTGTTAGTACCCAACTTTGATAGATTTTGATGATGCCACTATACTAAATTCCCAAATGATTCACACTCACATTATCTGATAAATTATGACCATGAATCAACATAAACAAATAAAGTGCATAATTTATGTATTAAATAAGTTATACTGGAAACTTAAAATGCAATAAGGTAACCATTGTTATCTTGAAAAGGATATTCAAATCCTACCAGTATAACTTTACATAATACATAGATAATCAAAAGAGTGACATAATTAAAGTGTACAACAAATGTATCAAAAACTTTTTACTGGAAATTTAAAAATGCAATAAGGTAAACTTGTATTTACCTTAAAGGATACTTAGAAAATCCTTCCAGTACATATTTTATTTGATACAATCTGTTAAAATTCACACACTAGTTTAAGCTGAGTAAAATATGGCATACGGCTGAAGACAGAATTGATAGCCATTTAATGCCAGGATTGTACATGGGTCCCTGAACGTGTTGGAATCTCTTCATAGAGACTTGAAGTGATCTTTCAGCGGCTAATCAGTGAAGACAAAAGAAATTTCCATATCAGCTCCAACGCAAGAAGACAAGAGTACACTTCCTTTTGTGACTAGGATTAAATCCTCTCAACCAACGGAGGAGATTAATCAACTGGAGATGCCTATAAAAGAAGGCAGAAGCATGAGGTCTAAAACTAAGTTTTTGAGTCTTCTAAGTAGAGTAATCACTCTAAGCATACAAGAGATATCTAGCAAAAGAGAAAGTGCACGTTTAACTTTACTCTCTGCTTAGACTCATGCTTCACTAAACTTCTAAGTCATAAACATTCATCAAAATTCTAGAAGTTTAGTAACTAGTTGGAGGTTAGAACTCTCTTGTATTAAATTGTTGTAAACACTTAGGAGAACGGTTGTTCATATCCTAAAGTGTAGAGAGAATAGATAGAGTACCTTTTGATCCCCACTGGATCAATTGAGAAAATCCAAAGGATTGAGTAACTTTGAGAAGTGTAATACTCATTGTGAAACACCTTTCAATCTAGGCCTAAGAGTTGTAAAGGCTAGATTGGCACTAAGTGGAAATCCATTTGAAAGAGAATGGGACTGGATGTAAGAGGATTACACCACCTCTGAACCAGAATACACTGTGCGTTAATGTTCTTATAAACTAACAAAGCACACACCAAACACTTCTCACAAAAGGATTGTAGTTTGTCAGCAGCATCCTAAGCAGTAGTCTTAACTGACCTTACTGCTTATCCTACTGCTTAATTACTCACTCTCCTTGAGATAATCTCTCAACAAGAATCTCTCATTTCTAGCAGTTACCTTAGCAGTACACTGCAGGAATCTCAGCAGTACACTCACACTCACTCAACTGCTAAGCATACTGCTTCAACAAATTCACTCAAACTCAATCGAGTTATAAAGCCATCTTCAAGTCAAGCAATATCACGATCACAACCTCTTCACAACTCAAATATCCTCTAAGTAGTTGCTTTGGCAGTTGCCTTAGCAGTATCCTACTATCCAGTCAGCTGCTGACCCCACTGCCCACACATTTTCATATCTCTTGAACTTCACAAAAAGGAAATCAGCTCATACCACCCTCAGAATCTCTTCCTATATCTCAGCAGTCATCTAAGTAGTTTCATCCTTAGTTTCCTACTCTCTTACACAGCAGTAGTCTCAGCAGTACACTATCATTCAGTCAACTGCCAAGACAACTGCTAACACAAAATGTTCAATAGCATATTCAAATAAAGAAAGTTGTGTCACACCAAGTTCTCAAAGGTTAAAGACTTCCGCTGTGTATCTATTAATCTCTCAAAAGGTTATAGATCAACTAAAGGGATAAAACTCTTAAAATCGAAAAGATTTGAGAGTCTATTCACCCTCCCCCTCTAGACTCTTACCCCTCTCCGGGACCATCATGGTTAGTTTGTCATCAGATGCGTGTCTTGTTACACATGGTGAACAAGAATGTTTACACGTAGGTACTCATGATGTTGAGTGGGTGATTGATACAGCCGCATCATTTCACGCCACTCCACACCAGAACTTATTCACATCTTATAAGTCAGGAGACTTTGGAGCTGTGAAGATGGGAAACACGAGTTTCTCAAAGATTGTTGGCATTGGTGATGTGCACATAACAACCAATGTCGGATGCGCACTTGTGTTGAAAGATGTTCGACATGTTCCGGATCTTAGATTGAATCTTATCTCCGGTACAGCTCTGGATCAGCAAGGATATCTTAACCGATTCAAAGAAGGTACGTGGAAGTTATCTAAAGGTTCCTTGGTTGTTGCAAGAGGCCATATTTGTGGTACTCTTTATAAAACTCATGCAAAGTTGTGTCATCCAAGTCTTAATGTTGTTGAAGAAGAGATATCACCAAACTTGTGGCACCGGAGGCTAGGCCACTTGAGCGTGAAGGGATTGACAACTCTTGCAAAGAAGGAAGTCATTTCCATGGGCAAAGGTATTGCCCTAGATCCATGCGAACATTGTCTATTCGGGAAACAACACAGGGTTTCCTTCAGTTCTACCAGGAAGAACCATTCAGAGTTACTCAGTCTTGTACACTCTGATGTATGCGGACCCATTGAAGAGGAGTCACTTGGAGGAAGCAGATATTTCGTGACATTCATTGATGATGCATCACGAAAGGTATGGGCTTATTGTTTGAAGAGTAAGGATAAAGTGTTTGATCGCTTCAAATTATTTCATGCCATGGTAGAAAGAGAAACAGGGAAGAAGCTGAAGTGTCTACGTTCAGACAATGGAGGAGAGTACACTTCCCGAGAGTTCTCAGCATATTGCGCCGCATATGGAATCAGACATGAGAAGACGGTTCCACGAACTCCGCAACACAATGGTGTAGCCGAAAGAATGAATCGGACCATTATGGAGAAAGTTCGTTGCATGCTGAGTATGGCTAAACTACCTAAGCCATTCTGGGGTGAAGCTGTGCTGACAGCTTGTTATCTTATAAACAGGTCACCTTCTGTTCCTTTAAACTTTGAAGTGCCAGAAAAGAAATGGTCAAGAAGAGATGTTTCTTACTCTCACTTGAAAGTGTTCGGGTGCAAGGCATTTGCACATGTGTCCAAGGAGTTGAGACAGAAGCTTGATCTCAAGTCAAACCCATGCATCTTCATCGGGTATGGTGATGAAGAATTCGGATACCGGTTGTGGGATCCCGAATTGAAGAAAGTTGTACGAAGCAGAGATGTTGTATTTCATGAAAACGAGTTTCATGGGTGTGCTCCAATAATCCGCCAACAACATACTCTAGAAGACGAAGTGCCTGCATCATCAAACATTCCTCTCAGCGACGAGGAGATGCATGATACTACTGAACAAGAGAGTGATGGTTCAGTAGATAATGATGATACTCATAGTGATGATATTCCTCAGCAGGGGGAGCCTTCATCTGAAGACGAAGCTGAAGGTATTCATGTTCGACGTTCTATGCGAGGCATAGTTCCACAGAGAAAGTATTCCACATCTGAATGGATAGTTGTTGCCAGCGAGGGGGAGCCAGCGAGCATCACAGGAACAAGAGAAATTATGAAAAAGGTGGAGGGGGAGATTTGTAAGGAACTTCCACCTTCTTTCTTGGAAGTTGCCAAGAGGCATCTCACACCTTCTAGGAAGGAGCTATCCAACAAATGAACATGGGAAGATATTTCTTGGAGATAGCTAGGAAACTCCATAGCAATGGGAATGGAAGCTTGGATGCAACTTCCTCATGTCTCCCATATACACCTATAAATAAGGAGTGTATTGTTGTTCATTTGTATCAGTTTAGAAAGTGAGAAAAGTGTGTGAAGAGTGAAAATACACTTAGAGTAGAAGTGTATTGGTGAGGATTGGTTTTTTGTAATAGTTGAGTGTGAGAGTTTGCTCCTCCTATTGTAATTCTGTTCTTGATATTGAATAGAAGAATTTTCCAATCCCAACAATGGACTCCCATGAAAAGCATCCCAAACCCTTCCTTACACTTCAGTTTGCGACAAAATGGTTGGGGAGATCAAGAATGAATGCATGTTGATATGTTAAGACATTATTATGCTTGGTTCAGTGGTGGAGTAGCAAAATAGACTATTATATTATTATATAATCTTTTTGTACTAAAAGCATACTTGTAGTAATTTATAGGGAAACTTACATAAATAGAATTAGATCACTATATATATATATAGAGTACTCTTCCGGTCAGGAATTCCTGACCGGAACCGCCGTCCGGACGGCGGCGTTTGGCCGCCTTCCGGGTGGAATTTTTCGATGAAATTTTTATGACATGTTCTTCATCAAGTCTAGTTTATCCACAAAAACATTCAGCCAAAAACTCATTCGGGAAGGTCGTCAAATGATTTTTTCAAGTTAACTGGTCCGGAAAATACATATTCCGGACGAGTTAACTTGCAAAAATCATTTGACGACCTTCCCGATTGAGTTTTTGGCTGAATTTTTTTGTGGATAAACTAGATTTGATGGAGAACATTTCATAAAAATTTCATCAAAAAATATCACCGGGAAGGCGGCCAAACGCCGCCGTCCGGACGGCGGTTCCTGTCCGGAATTCCGGACATGAATAAAATTCTATATATATATATATATATATATATATATATTCACATGCCATCTTATTAAGGTTCACTTATAGTCTTACTAAAGTGCAATATAACAACTTGTAAGATGCACATGTCATAATGATAAGATGCAGTGTGAAATATTAATGTGCACATATCATCTTACTAAATTTCAATACGCGAACTTCTAAAATGCACATGTCATAATGATAAAATGCAAATTCGTATGATGTGACATGTTTCTCTTATATTATGCATCAGATAGGGGTTATTGTGCATCAGATCGACAGTTTGGACGGCTGAGATTAATTCTCATTTTACACGTTAAGATGTCTTCTCATTTGAACTCATCCCTATATATATATCCCTATATATATATATATATATATATATATATATAGGGATATATATATAGGGATATATATATAGGGATATATATAGGGATATATATAGGGATATATATATATATATATATATATATATATATATATATATATAGGGATATATATAGGGATATATATAGGGAAAAGATCAGGTGAGAAGTGTCTCTTAAAATGAGAAGTGAGAAGTAATCTCGCCCTTGGATTTGCATCTAATCTTACAACGCAATAAACTTATAGACTAAATAGGGAAAAGGTGCAAATAGGCCCATGTACTAACCAAAAAAGGTCAAATAAGCCCTTATTTAGGAGGTTCTGTCCGGCCGTCGTCATTTGGGGTGGTTCCCGGTGGATTTTTTTGATGAAATTTTTTGAGCATCTTACTCATCCGGTCTAGTTTACTCATACCAAATTTCAGCTAAAACTTCAATCGTGAAGGCATTCAAATGAATTCTTGAAGATAACTGCGATTCTAACTGCGCAGTTATTTTCAAGAATTCATTTGAATGTCTTCTCCATTGAAGTTTTAGCTGAAATTTGGTATGAGTAAACTAGACTTATTGAATAAGATGCGCAAAAATTTTCATCAAAAATTTTCGACGGGAACCACCCCAAATGGCGACGGCCGGACAGAGCCTCCTAAATAAGGGCTTATTTGACCTTTTTTGGTTAGTACATGGACCTATTTGCACCTTTTCCCGACTAAATATAAGAACTTATAACCAATAAATCATAACTTATAAAGCTCTCCATAATAATTACGAAAATGCCACCGCGTCCAAAAATTTTCCAGGTTTCTGTAATTATTTTTTTCGGTGGCATTTTCGTAATTATTTTCGAGGGGTCTATAAGTTATGATTTATTGGTTAAAAGTTCCTATATTTAGTCTAAAAGTTTAACTTCGCAGTTCTCAACCTAAGAGCACTTCTCACCCGATCCGCTCCCTATATATATATATATATATATATATATATATATATATATATATATATATAGACAAAAGTTCATGTCCGGAATTCCGGACAGGAACCGCCATCCGGACGGCGGCGTTTGGCCGCCTTCCCGGTGGAATTTTTTGATGAAATTTTTATGGAATGTTCTCCATCAAGTCTAGTTTATCCACAAAAAAATTCAGCCAAAAACTCAATCGGGAAGGTCGTCAAATGATTTTTGCAAGTTAACTGGTCCGGAATATGTATTTTCCGGACCAGTTAACTTGCAAAAATCATTTGACGACCTTCCCGAATGAGTTTTTGGCTGAATTTTTTTGTGGATAAACTAGACTTGATGGAGAACATGTCATAAAAATTTCATTGAAAAATTCCACCCGGAAGGCGGCCAAACGCCGCCGTCCGGACGGCGGTTCCGGTCAGGAATTCCTGACCGGAAGAGTACTCTATATATATATATATATATATATATATATAGAGGGCTGTTCTCATCAGGCCGGCCTGACGGGCTGCCCCGTCCGGCCGAGCCCGTTTGGGCACCTTCCCGGTGGAATTTTTTGATGAAATTTTTTGAGCATGTTCCTCATCAAGTCTAGTTTGTCCATACCAAATTTCAGCTCAAAATTCGATCGGGAAGGTCGTCAAATGATTTTTGCACGTTAACTGGTCCGGAAAATACATATTCCGGACCAGTTAACTTGCAAAAATCATTTGACGACCTTCCCGATCGAATTTTGAGCTGAAATTTGGTATGGACAAACTAGACTTGATGATGAACATGCCCAAAAAATTTCATCAAAAAATTCCACCGGGAAGGTGCCCAAACGGGCTCGGCCGGACGGGGCAGCCCGTCAGGCCGGCCTGACATGAAGTTTTCTCTATATATATATATATATATATATATATATATATATATGTCTTCACACAAGTAGGGCTGGGACCGGTTCGGTTCTTACTCAAAATGAGTGGAACCGTTATAAAAGTTTTAACTAATGAAATCGGTTCGGTTCCTATATAAAAAATCAAGAACCGTTATGGAACCGAACCGGTAGTAAACGGTTCGATTCTTCCTTTTACCGGTTCCTAGAATAATTTTTTCTCACTAAGAATTAATACATAATTTACTTTCTACAAACAACATAAACACGTCGAAAATTCAAAACACGAGTATTAAAATTTTATTTGAAGCTCTAATCACTTCAAACATCAAAAGATGATTTAAATTTTCATGTAATAAATAAAACATAAAAATCATAGTAGTGTGGGAGCGATGAATGTTACTCGTCATCATAGTAGAAAGAATAGGACGTCTACTTGAAGTCTTTCAAAACATAAAAAAATACTTTGAGTTCGCATGTATAGATATATAAAAACATTGTTACATTCTATTGATTCATAATAAATCTAATAATTAGAAATATCATGAAAATAGTAAAGTAAAACATGTGCAATCAACTACAAGTTATTTGAGTTATTTTGTATTTATAAAATTTATGTGATGGAACAAAACTTGATTTGTAGAAAGGAGTTTAATGTATTATATCAACTTCATGTACAATATTTATTACTTCATTTTTGTTGATTAAATTAGAATTGTTAGTTAAATATCTTATATTGTTTTATTATTATTGTTGTGGTGGTGGTTATTATTGCTATTATATTATTATTATTGTTACTACTTTTACTACTAATATTATTTTATTTTTTAATTTTTTAATAATGGTTCCTTAACGGTTCCATGCATATATTTTTTATAGGAATGAGGAACTGAACCGTTATAACTCGTTTCGGTTCGGTTCCTACAAATAAGGTATTAATTGTTAACGGTTCGGCTCCTAGATGTTGTTAACGGTTCAGTTCCAATCGGTTCTATGGTTCCCGATTCCAAAATCCCACCCCTACACACAAGTTCTCACCGTTTGTTCCTGACAATTTGCAGGACTCATTCACTAAGAGGGCAGTCCGGTGCACATTGGCATATGCGCAAGGCAAGGGTCCAGTGCACGACTCATTAAATCTTAGGGAAAAAACATTACTACTTTCATTGCTTTTCTAGGACTAAATGAGTCCTATTTTAAGCACAAAACAAACAAAAAAACTGTGTCCAACTGGAGCGACTCCACCAGTGGGAAAATTGCATGAATAAACTTTCATCTTTAGCTCCTTAAGGAAAAAAGTTAAAGAGAAGGATGCGCATAATTACCAGCTTTCTTGGCTGCACGGAATAAAAGCTCCTCAATGAGGTGTTGCGCAGGATCTCCATCAGGAAATCTCTCCAGAAAAGTTACAACATGGGAAACAACTTCCTCATTGGTCAAGTATTGATATAAGCCATCCCAGGAATTGATCTCCAGGACAGATTCTATGGTGACACAAGGAAGGAGTACAGAATTGATATACTCATTTCGGAACATTTCCAATAATGCGTCACTCAACTTACGCTGCATCAAGGATTTCAATATCATTATATATGCAAAAAATCACACTAGTGAAAGAATTTTGACCTTTTCCCTTTTCAGGTACCTTATCAGGTAAAAATAGATTGAAAAATGTACTAAATTGGCTAGATATGTAGTTGCAAAGAAGTGGAGCAATGGAAGTCCGGAACCAAATCAGAATGCCAGGGGCGGCTTTAGAATGTTGGAGGCCCTAGGCGACAAAAATTGCTCTACCATCCCATTAATTTGATCAAAGTTAACTTGTACGTAAAATAATAAAATAAAAAATGTGGATTGATATTTTTGCAAAAAAGAGAAATAATTGTGATTATATATTTATTACGAAATGACAACGTTTTATGAGAATACTAAATAAGGAAAATTAATAAACTTTTGTAGGACGGGGTGAGTATTAGAATTTCTTAATAAGAGTACTATTGTTCTATTCCGAAATTGGACGCATGCACTCCTATTTAGAAAGATTTGTATTCTTTTAATATTTAAATAGGACTACATCCTATTTTGGGAAGAAAGTGCAATTAGTTTTATTTCAAAACTTTACCCTTGTTTTCATATGCTGTTTATAAGACTTATAGTCATACAAAAATTAATATGAAAAAACTGAATAAAACACACAATTTAAAATACAAAGCATGTACAAGTGAAATATAGCTTGTGAATTAAACATAAGCATCAAAGTTGTAATTTCTAATACAATATTGTGTCGTCACATTATATGTGAAATTAAAATATTAAACTAAAGAACTACTAGAATCAAATTAATAAATAATTACTCTAACTATTTATTAATTCTGGCTAGCAATCCAATTAATTAAGATTAATACTCAGGGGCTGTTTGGAGCCCATAAAATCGGCTGATAAGCCTTAAAAGATAAAAAAAGTGCCAAACACTAGCCAATTGGGCTGTTTGGGCTGATATTTCTGATCAGCCAGAAAAGTAGCAATACCCTGACTTTATCGGCTGAAAGGTATTAATTTACCGTTGAAAAGGTAAACTACCCCTTTACCCTCCCTTCTCTATACCCGTAATACATCTGCCGCTTCTACCACTTCTGGATCGACAGCTTCCAACTTTCATCTGCTCCGCTGCTTAGCTTGGTCCTTCCAGACCGATGAGTTCTCGTTCAGCTTCTCCATATTAAAGGTAAGCTGCTCGGCCTCTTCTTCTTCTCGCAGATCCATCATAATCTTTAGAACTTTTACATAAGTGCTCGATTTCTTCCTGCAAATCAAGAAGGATCTCGAAGAGGGAGCGTTTTATTCCTGAAAACTTTCTTTGTCACTGTTAATATCAATCATACTGTGATCACTTTTTGGTTTCAGCAGCTTGAAAACTATTAGGCTATGAAAAGGAAAGAAAAAAATTCTTATGCTCGGTTTTGCCTCAGAATTGGCAAAGCAAAATGAATATGATTGATGTCAGTTAGCTTTTAATATGATTAGATTGCTAAGCGTTTAAATGATAGCTATAAATTAGTAAATAAGTAAATACCCTTATGGTAATTTTACATGCAATCAGCCATTCCAGCCAAAGAATTACCAAACACTTTTACTTCAGCACATTCAGACTTTTCAGGCTTTTCAGCCCAAACAGCTGGACCAGCTGCTTCCAAACGGCCCCTCAATATACCAAAAAGGAATAACCAATATTGCCTCAATCATAACTTTTAGTCTAACTTTTATACCATTCTAACTATAATTTTTTCATCTCAAAACTTGTTGCTTAAGCCAAACACACAGTGCCGGGAGAGGGATGAGGTCACACGGGGTTGAGGCCTGTGTTGTAAGAACCGAACCGAACCAGCCGGGTTGACCAAGAAACCGGTCACCCGGAGCCCAATCCGGTCCGGTTGAAGCCCAACCCGCAAATGTGGCCGAACCCGGAAAAACCCACTAAACCGCCAGACCGGACCGTAACCCATGACGGCCCAAACCCGGAAATTTTCTAGAAACCGGAATAAATTCAAAAATCCAAAGCAAAGGGGATTCGAACCCGAGTGTAACAGCTGGGAGAGAAGGCCTCAATCCAAGGAGCTGTTGTGGAACGTTTGAACATTTCGATATTTGAGCATATTTAATATATATATATATATATATATATATATATATATATATAATATATATTACTAATATATAGATTCACTTTTTAATTACTAATCACAATAAAAACATAGCATCCTTAATATAAAGTAATACAGAATACAGTATATGCTGTTACTAATATTATGAGGGAAAAGTGTTTATATAATATTTCATTTTTTAATAAGCATTGTATTTTCTTTTAAAAAAACATTGTATTCATATTTAATATCCATCATTCCATCTAATTAAATATACATTTTATATTTTGTTAAAAATTGTATATTTTAAAATAATAACTCTATTTCTTTGTTGACCGGGTTTTCCGGCGTTGATCGGGTTGACCCGTCGGGTCCGGGCTGACCCGTGACCCGGTCGTTCGGCCGGGTAGCTTCTCGGTCCGGTTCTTACAACATAGGTTGAGGCGTGAGAGAATCCTATGGCCGTTTGGGAATTTCCGATTGTAATCCAGTTTCAACTTCCAAATAATTAAAAACGAAATAATCTTTTTATATTGCTAACACTTTGTACTATTTTGGAGGCCCTCCTCAATTATGAGGCCCAAGGCAAATGCCTGGCCTGACTCCCCTCATGGCCGCCTCTGCAGAATGCCTACTAGTCGTGAGACCAAGAGTTCAGTTTTTCTCCAAAGATGCCTACTAGTAAAAAGTTCAGTTACTTTTTTCTTTTTTACTCTGGAGAGACCCCTCACCTTCTTTTTCTTTCTTGTATTTTTGCTTTTTATCCTTTCATCTTTGTGTGTGTGTGTATATATATAGAGAGAGAAAGGAATGATCCTGTCTAGCCGGATGGACATGACCCTCCGTTCGGCCGCCACCAATTGATGTGGTTCCCGGTGGAATTTTTTGATGATTTTTTTTTAGCAAGTTCTTCATAAAGTCTAGTTTATCCATAACAAATTTCAGCTAAAAATTCAATCAGGAAGGTAGTCAAATAAATTTGTGAAGATAACTGCGCCAAAATATACATATAAAACGTAGTTATATCCCCATCTCTTTTTATATTATCTTTTTCATTGTAGCTTATCTTTCTTATCTTTCTTTTCCTTTTGGTTCCGATATCATGTATCGAGTCATGTTAACTGACCCCAAAATCTTTTGGGATTAAGGCTTGAATGTTGTTGTACTCTGAAGAGATAAAAACCTGTTTCAGGGAGCCTGCTCCAAAAGCGCGGGTGACCTTTAGGCGGCCTTTAACTCTATCATTTACAATACAGTTGTTGTCATCAGGATGTTCGTTCTTGATTCTAATAACCTCCTGGAGAAGTTTTAAGGAAATGATTTTAGACTATGAAAACAAATAACAACATAATGTAATACATATATGACAGATGAACATATAAAAGGAAAATTAAGAAAAACCAAGAGTATCTCCAGGAGTCCAGGGGGATACACTGTTTTAATTCATCACAATGGCCAAGTGGCAACAGGACTGCACAAAGTATCCTCGGAACAATTGAAAAATTAACAAGGAATAGGTCGATTTGCATTCCCAAATGCATTCTCTTACTAAAGAAAATAGAGTATCATATGAAATGAATAACGGATTATGTCATTTTTCTAATGAGCATTTCACCATTCAAACCCTCAACTCAATTAGGTAAGCATAAGAGCAGTGACCTTTCTCATAGGGTCCTGAACTCGTACTTTAGATTATAGAACTAATACATAGCCATTCTCTATATTTGAGGCCCATTCTAGTTGGGAGTTAAGAGCCATGATAACATAAAAATGATATGGCTTCCACTATGTGTTACACAGTTTCAAATGTTAGCAAATTGTAATCATAAGGAAGTTTTTAACAATAGCAAATGATAATCGTAAGGAAATTCCACAGTTCCATCAATGTTGAGTACTACTTTGACCCCAGTTGAGCTAATACTTGCCTGTTCCACAGGAGTACCGTAAGAAGCTATAACTTTCTTTTTTAGCCGTCCCAACAAACTTTGTCATTTCCCTTTAAAGTAATAAATATGTGGTTATAATTATCTCTCTTCTGCCCAAATCTGAACTATACAATTTTTACATTAAAATTTCCTTGCGCAAGTCAAATTTGACCATATTTTGTGAGACGGAAGGAGTATGTAAAAAACTAAAGACATGTTTACTTCACAGTTAATTTCACCGTTAGCTTATTAAAACAGGTGAAGTAAACAATTTTTGAATAAATGTTTGTTTTTAACACTTTTTATATCTTAAAGTGTTGCTTGGTAAACACTTTATCCCATGTTTTACTACGCAAGATGTTAAGGGGCTGTTTACTTTCAGTGATATTTTCTGGTTTTTTAGAATTTTGGAAAATTGGAAAAATGAAAACAGGAAATTGAGTTTACCGAAAAAATTAGCTGGAAAACCGGAGAAAGAAAAATAGGAAAATGTGTATCAAATCATTTTCCAAAATCAAAAAATGAGATATGTCTCTGTTTTCCCCTAATGAATTGGAGAATATATTTTTACTAGTTTTCCAAATTTAAGATACTTAAATGTTGCAGTGCGGCTGTAATGAATTTGCATACTTACGTCTAGTGGTGGATCCGATCCTGTTATGCTCTTGGGTCCAATATGGTCGATGATCGGGCAGACCGGCCTGCTTCGATCCCAACTATCCTATACTCGGGACCGGGTACCCTATTTGGGTTGTACTAAGTTTGGTTCCAGACCGGGATCGTACTTTCAGTCTGCCGGCCGGTCCTAGAACCGAGTGAAAAAAATTGATTATAATGTTTTTGAAAATGAAAAACTGATAAATTAAAAATGAAAATTGGAGATAGAAAAAAAATTAAAACAGAAAATTGGAGAATGGAAATCAGAAAAGATAATTAGAAAATGTCTCTGTCAGTCAACGGGTCCTAAACTTTTTCATATTGACAAGTATACCT